TATACATAGTAGAATTCTGCACTGCTTATTAAATTGAGAGAAATTTTGCAGGTTTATCAATATAATTGTCATAAACAATCAATTCTACAATTGCTACTCATCAACAACTCTAAGCAAGCCACTATACTAATAACATCATGGGTACAAAGATGATTAAAAGAAGTGAATTTTGTGAAATTTATGATTTATTGGAATGAGGGGTCAGAAAGGGGTAAATAAAAAGTGCCTAAGCCCTATGATCTAGCAATTGCACTATTAGGTATATACTCAAAGTATTAAAAAAAAAAACAGATTCAAAGGGGTACATGAACCCCAATGTTTACAGCAGCATTATGAACAATAGCCAAACTATGGAGAAAGCCCAAATGTCCATTGACTGATGGATGAATAAAGAAGATGTTGTATATATACGTATACACACACACACACACACACACACACACACATACACACACACACACAATGGGATATTACTCAGCCATCCAAAATAATGAAATCTTGCCATTTGCACTGATGGAGCTGGAGCTGGAGTGTATTATGCTAAGCGAGAAAAGCCACTCAGAGAAAGACAAATACCATATGATTTCACCCAGATGTGGAATTTAAGAAACAAAACAGATGAACACATGGAAAGGGGAGGGGGAAAAGAAGAGAGGGAAACAAACCATGAGACAGAGGGGGTGGGGGAGGGGCCAGATGACTGAGGGGTATCAAGAAGGGCACTTGTGGTGAACACTGGGTGTTGTATATAAGTGATAAATCACTGAATTCTAACTCCTGAAACCAATATTGCCACTGTATGTTAACTAACTAGAATTTAAATCTAAATAAATAAATAAATAAATAAATAAATAAATAAATAAATAAATAAAATTAGTAGGGAAAAAAGTGCCTTAAGCAACACAAAGCAGAAATTATGTCTTCATAAAGTGGGTGAAAATGCTCTGAGGGAGAATTAATGGAATGATGATGATGATGATAATTATTAATAAGAATGTCTTCTATTACAGAGTCTTTTCTGTGTGTCAGAGAAAGTTTTAAGCATTTTTAATTGAGTGTATTACTTAATCCTCAGAACAATCCTGAAATATTGGCGATACTGAGCTTAAATATATTAAATAATTTATACAAGTTAATATTCAAACTTGAGCTGCCTGACTCCAAGAGTACACATTTAAAAATTGCTCCAAGTTGTTTTGATGAAAGGTAGTAAAGACCTCGTTGAGGAGATGCTATGCTTTTAAGCCTTAAAGTCATAAAGAAGGTAGAGAGGATTTGTGAAGCCATTCAGAGAAGAAAAATTAAGATTCAGTGTGTGTATAGGATTGGCTATTTATATTCAGAAAAATATAGTTGGATTAGTTCTGTCACAAGGTGGGAAATTATAGAAAACAATGTTGGAAAGTTCCTGAGAACAAAAGCTTGTGCTTAATTGACCTACTAAATTCTTGAAACATGGTGAAAGTTGTGTTTTCAGAAGATCCATTAGACCACAGTGGGAATAAAATAGCATAATAATTAAAAGCACAAGTCTAGGAGCAAATCACTTGAACTCATAGCCCAGGTTTTGTAACCGATCCCTGCAGTAAATGAGCCTCTAGAAGTCTGTTTCCTCATCCACAGTGATACCTTGGGTGTGATGTGTAGGAAATAGGACCATGGCTATGAAAATTCAACTAGGTTGTTTGGATAAAAAGTTTGCTACAGTACATGTAGTTAGTGCTCAGTAGGCACTAGCTTTTATGATTAATGTGTAAAAGATAGACTGTGGAAGAGAGAGACTGACAGCAGGGACATAACTTAATAGGCTACCAACACAGTCCAGATGGGAACAGACAAATCCTGAACTAGGACAGGGGCATTGGCAACAGAAAAGAGGACAGTTACACAAGATGCTTTAGAGGCATAAGTGCCTTTGTGATTCATTAGAGGTGGGAGGTAGAGACATGACTCTAACTGTTCACGCCTGGCTCACTGAGACAATGATGGTGCTATTCCCAGATGCAGAGCAATTATAAAGACATGATGGTTTGGAGGAAAAATCATGGATGCAGAATCTGTTTTGATATATTGACTGTGAACTAAAGATGTTCTTCAAGTCATATCCATCTACCACCAAGGCAATATTATTCTCAAGTATGATACAGATGTGACTGGCGGGAAATTAAGAAGGTTCAGGTGGTGTGAGCAAAGGTTGTCACTGATGACATTGAATTACATGGTGAGAAGATTCTTTCCTGAGAAATGGTCCTTCTACTCTTCTGTTTACATCAATGAAATGTTTTACTTTGGTGCCAGCTGCAATTTCCCATTTCTCAAATATCTTTCCTTCCCTCATTTTCAATATACTCAGTCTGCAGAACACTAATATATGCACTTAAAATTAAGAACATTTTTTCGCTTTTCATTGTATTTTTGCATCAACTTCTATTGTGTCAAATGCTTCTGCTTTTTCATTATGGCCGTAATATGAACTTTCTTTTTAAAAATTAATTTTACTAAAAACAATAATGAATCAATTTAAAGAAAAAAATACTAAGGAATCAGCAGTATAGTCATCACTTGAATATAATAAAGTCATGAGAGGTGAGCTTGAATGAATGAAGGTTAGAAAGCCTTGCAGTAAGCTAGGTCAGATATTAGGCAATATTATCACCCAGTTTTGACCAAGGCTTCTTAAACTGATATACATTTATGGTAAGTCTAGGAGAAAATCACATTGTAATAATGTATTTAAAAGGAGTATAAATTTAAAAGGAGTATAATTTGATCTGATAATTTCCCAATAAAGCTGTTTTTATAACTTCCTTGTAGATATTAACTAGTTGTAAAGCTCTGCTTTGAAGGTAAGAAAGGCATCAGAAATCAAACAAAAGGTCATGCAGAAACTTCAAGTCATTACAAAATCAACTGTCATGAGAATCAGGCTGCCTCTCAGCATTGGTGTTAAGTTTCCATTCAGTCCTTTCTCTTCACAAATACAACTAAGATGGTGCTGCACACAAAATACAAACCAACAAGAGCAGGGAGTGAACAACAAGACCAACAGGGAGGCTAACCACCGTATTAAAATTCACAAATGATGCAATCAATTAAATCATGCTACTCAGTATCAAATCTGATATCAGTGCAGTCTTGCTTTGATTTCCCTAGGAAGATTAATAGCTTTGTGGCACCTTGGTAATATTTCTTGCCATGCTTTAAGTAAGTAGGTCATTTTCTTCTGGAAATATCTCATAATAGACAGTAAATACTCTAGATCATTCTCAAGATGAAATATTGGGGAGGGAATGATTTAGGCCCTATGATATAAAGCCAACACTTCCCTTACCAGCATTTGGTTTTAATGCCCCTCTGGGCTCAAATGACTAAAAAGACTGGCCAGTCATCAGTTTTGGGGTTCTGTTTTAGGGTGCTGGAGCAATTACAGAAATATGAATATACAACACAATTTAATGCCCAATTTCTCATTCTGGAAGCATGCAGACTTAGAAATTATTTTTACACATGTTCTTCCTTTCACAGATGGAAAACCAGTTCTAAGGCAATCCTAAATCTTTTTTAGGGACCAAATAAAAGACTGTTCTAGTACTTGATGTTCAGGATTTGCAGTGAATAAGGGAACAGAAGGCCACTTTTCAAAAATATACTCAAGCATTTCTTTGACCTTCTTTTATATTCTTTTTGCAAATTAAGAGAGTTGGAGAAATATGCAAACACTGTTGATAATAGTGTTAAGACCAGATAGTTCTTTGATTTGGAGAATGATGGTTATGAAGATATAATCTTAAATTTCTATTTTTGCATAGGTCCTTAACTTGCTTCTCTGTGTATAGCAGACCAAGACCTTATTCCAAATTAGTCAACACAAAAGTATATTCTATGAATTTCAGGGAAAAAACTCAGGTTTGTGCAAATAAATCAACAGAAAACAATTCAACTCACAGGAATATATATCAAAATACATGTCTTAATAGACATTAAGTTGAGAACCCATCATTTATATTTGAAACTGGGACATATCAAACTCAATTTTAAAAGGAGTAGCTGGAATAATTTGCTTGGAGTATGTACTCAACATTGCAGAGGGTTTATACTGGCCACCCAGGAGACAGATATGGTCTCTGAAATAGGCTTAAATTATATCACATGGGTTTTCAAATAAATTCAATTAATGCCATTAAAATCCATGATACTTGTTGTAAAAATAAAGATTTTTAGTTTCTCTTAAGAAATCTGAGCTCCTGACCACGTTAGGTCCCACACGCACTTGTATTAGTAAAAGCTACTATTTATTGAATGCTCACTAAGTTCCAGGTATCATTCTAAGCACTCTTCTTTTTTGTTTTTTTTTTGTTTTTTGTTTTTTGTTTTTTGTTTTTTCCTTTATACACACAGTATGCCTGTGAAACAGGTTTTTTTGGTCCACATTAGTTATCTGGGAGATTTAATCCCTGAGAAATTCAGTAATTTTCTCAATATCTATAGCTAGTAACTGATGCAGTTGGGGTTTGAAATGAGGCCTGTCCCTTATCCATAATAGAGCCAGTTCAAAATATTAAATTAGTGAATGCGGAATCAGTCCATATCGATTATGGTCACATTTCCGTACTTGCAGAAAGTTAATTTTCCCTGTGTGATTACTTTAAATGCTGCTATTTTAATATACCATAAAACTTATTTCCTAAAAGAAACATTACACCTACACCTAATAAATATTGTCTGCTTTTAAAATAATTGCTAGTCATTTTTGCTTAAAGAAATTAAGCAAATAAGTTACTAATCCAATTTTAATCCATTTTGCTTCAAACTGATAGAATCCATTTATATTTATCTATTATGCTAGAATACCAATTATAATTTTCTCTGGTAAATTAAAACACTTCATTTAATTTTCTGCATATCATTTGTATACAGGTATTGAAAAGTCTGTGAATTATTTATACCAGAATATTAACTCTGGAAGGGGTCACTCAAAATTGCTTTCAAGAGCATCTTACCAGAAGTTGTCTTCACTACTTCAGTGGTATTTCTCAGTCCAACAAATGAAAATTGATAAAGCCTCCACGATCTTGTGTCACCTACTTCAACAGAACTACGCTTCCATTGGTAGACAATTTCTTCACGTGGATAGCCATCTGCCATGAGATGGAAAAGCTCATATTTAAAATTATTTATAAATGAATGTATGTAGCAACCACCTTCCATGAACAAGACACTGAGGTAAGTATGAGAGAGATGGCGTTTTAAGTTAGAAAAGGATCTTGAACTAAAGAGCATCGCAATAGAGGAAATAAATACATGACATCTTATCCCAACAAGAAGTTAAGAAGTCATAAGGTCAAGATTACCCTTGAAAATAACTTAATTTGCATAGAAGATATGCTAAACATGGTTTCGGATATACTATACGCATGCTTTACATTGTCTGAGGTAAGATATAAAAAGTATCCAATATATGATAAATAGCACATATGCAAGATATTATTTTATGATGATGAGTAAACAAGGCAAGGTTTTGAGAGTCATGCAGAAACAGAAAATAATGGAAGAGGAGACTCAAATGCTTCTCCAGGGTATGCCCTTAGAGTGGAAGATGACTGAGAAAAATAACCTCAACTATTTACATTATTCTCTCTCTCTCAATTTGTTGGGACTTCACTTTAATACACGCAGAAATCTACAATTAACAGTAGTAAGTAGTGGGATGCCTGGGTGGCTCAGTCCATTAAGCATCCAACTCTTGATTTTGGTTCAGGTCATGATCACACGGTTCATGAGTTTGAGCCCCACATTGGGTTCTGTACTGACAATGTGAAGCCAGGTTGTCATTCTCTCTCTTTCCCACTCTCTCTGCCCCTCCCCCACCAAACTAAATACACTTAAAAAAAAAAGTAGTAAGTAGAAATGCCAAGGGGAAGATACCAATGAGCACTATGTAGATTCTGAAGAAGTTAATTATGTTCAGCCAAGAGAACAGAAAGCCTTCATGAGAGAGGTATTGCACTGATTATGTAGAGATTATCAGTACCATTTGCTAGCCATAATACCCTAGACAAATTTCTTTGTTTTTTTCCCTCAATTATTTGTTTCTTTATGGAGATGATGGTAGTACTTATTTCATGACTGATGGCCAATGTATAATTGTTGAGTGGATAAACATTATAAAGTAAATTATAGAATAAACTCTGTAGGGGTGCCTGGCTGGTTCAGTCACTAGATCATGCAACTCTTGATCTCAGGGTTGGAAGTTAAAGCCCCATGTTCCATGTAGAGATCACATAAAAATAAAATCTAAAAGAAAAGCATAAACTCAAGTAAAAACAGATAGATGGATGATAGATAAATGATAGATAGATGATAAATAAAACTAGACATCATCTCAACTATTTATGAACTAATAATGCTATATAAGTCTTAATTATGGAGGCTGATTGACTACCTGGAATAGGATCCCTAACGTCTTCCCTTTTTCTTTTCTTTTGGTCCAACTAGGCTTGTGTTGTGTGCTTATTAACTAAGATTCAAGAAAAAAGAAAGCATGATCCCCAGACTGGCATGGAGAAGGGGTAGGGGACAGGATGTGTTGAACCAAGAAAAAGAATAGTAATGTTAGGGAACTCCCTATGGAGAACATGTTGATGATTTAACTTTTTTGATAGCAGTAAGAAACATTAAGTTGTGTTTGGGTTCAGAAGACAAGTGTCCATCAGTGACCTAAAGACGCAGAAATCACCAGCTCTAGATTTTATCTGACTCAGAAGAGTAGTCCCAGTTGAAAAAATAATAGAAAAGAAGTCTCATCTCCTAAAGCTTGGGGAGGATTTTACTTAAAAATATTCCATTCTTGGATAAAGTAAAACATATGAAATAAGATTTATAATGGGAAATTTTATTTTTTTAATTTTCTTAATGTTTTATTTTATTTTTGAGAGAAAGAGAAGCAGAGCATGAGTTGCGGAGGGGCAGAGAGAGAGGGAGACATAGAATCTGAAACAGACTCCAGGCTCTGAGCTGTCAGCACAGAGCCAGATGTGGGACTCAAACTCATGAACCCATGAGATCATGACTTGAACCAAAGTCAGACGCTTAACTGACTAAGCCACCCAGGTGCCCCAATTTAATGGGAACTTTTCTAAATAGATATGATAGATAGTGATATTTTTCCTCTAGTTCCTTCTAGAATTTATGTAATGATGAACAGATGATTGCTGCTTTCATCATTGATTGTTTTTTTTTTGAAAGGACAGCTATTATTATTTAGTTGGTTTGTATGGGTCTCTGTCACTCCCTGCCTGGGAAATTCTACTTATAGAAATATAAACTTAAAATTCATAGTAAGTTTTTCATTCTGCCTAGTATCCATAGTTGTCAGACCAAAAATAAGAAAGAGGTGAGCAACCTAACGTGGACCTGAACAATTAGTGAGGCAAACATCGGGGGACACTGAAGCTTGGGTTTAGTTCAGGAAGGAAATTATCTATGAAGCTTAATTTGTATTATAATCATCACAGATCATTTTGCTATATAAACTATTTCCTGATAATAATAATAATTAATAGAAATAATAGAGCTTTTTACTGAATCCTATTGTGTGTGAGGTAGCATATCAAGCATTTTACATATATTACATCAACAAAACAATATTGTGGGAGGGCACATCTCAAAGTCTCTGCTGGGCACCTGAGATTGTGGACTCACTGCAAGATTTAATAATTTGCTCAAGTCTATAGTGATGGAGTTGGGATTTGAACTAGACCCAAAAGACACCAAAAACTAGTCTTTTATTCACTGGTAGATAACTAGTTCTAGATATTATTCAAACTCCATATGAAGTGGGTAATTTTCAATTTTGCTACCTTTAACGCATATACTGAAATCGAAATAAGCAGATGACACTGTAAGGGAGAGAACAAATAGCAAAGATGGTGCTACTCTCTTCTTCTGAGCCAATTGGGGGCAGGTGGGAGCCGGGAAGAAGGATGTAAAACCTACCATTATACCTTTCCATTGAGTTCAGGCCTGTCTTTACAATCCTTCTTGAGAAAGGTCTCTGGGTGGGGCGTCTGGGTGGCTCAGTAGGTTAAGCTTTGGACTTCAGCTCAGGTAATGATGTGGGGCCTGTGGGTTTGAGCCCCACATTGGGTTCTGTGCTGACACCTCAGAGCCTGGAGCCTGCTTTGGATTCTGTGTTTCCCTCTTTCTCTACCCCTCCCCTATATGTGCGCTCTCTCTCTCTCAAAAATAAATACAAATTAAAAAAAAAAAAAAGAAAAGAAAAATATCTCCAGGCAACCACTGTGAATTTATTAAAAATTTTTGCCCCAGTGAAAGCTACTTGTAAATTCTAATAAAATAGATCCTTTTTTGCAGGAAATCACTCTAATAGGGTTAAGCTGGTATTATGATGAAAGTAACTGTCAAAATCTTCAAAGTCAACAACATTGCTTGTTTCTGCATTCTCTAGGAGTATCCCAATTAGTTGGCATTGCAATTAGGAAACTGTTGGTGAGAGAGGATACAGAATACAGAATGAGATTACTTACAGCTGGAAAACTCCAAGGGGCAGGAATGTTCGTCCATTGGAAAATTGTGCAACTGCAACTGGCACTCTGCATCAATTGTCAACCTAAACAGAAGGATATGAAACACAAATAGAAAGAGTTTAGACACAATTTTAAGAATGTACATGAATGCAATTTTTAATGACTATTCTTCATCTTTGTTCCTGGAGAATATATCTCATATTCCTATTGATAATTCAAGGTGATTCTCCCTGAAGAAACCCACCAAGTCCAGGAGAAAATTACTTAAGACTTAATGTAGTCATTTTCACAGAACAAACAATAGGATCTCATTGGCTTCAATTCCATTTTTTCCAAAATTTATGACCACGTAATTTTTTTGGCAAATTAATTGCACACATGAGATTGCTTGGTGAATATATTTAACTTAACAGAACAAATTGTTTTAGGAACTTAAGCTCATTTACTGTTTGCATGTAAATTAATGCTGATAATTCTCAGATCTTATCTGCTAATTAAAGCAGAACCTTCTGTTTGTAAGTACTTGGTAGCTGTTAGATTTAAATTACTATATGTGAGTTTTAACATACTTATATTTCACAATGGAGTATTATGCATTCTTATAATGGAACACTATGAAGCCATTAGACAGGATGTTACAGAGTAGAAGAATACTTAATAGCAAACAAGAAATGTTAAATACACATATACAGACATGTTCCAAAAATGTTTGCCAGTGAACCTCAATTAGTTTGCATCTGGGGTGTTTATTAAAGTTACAGATTTTCTGGATCTCGATATAGGCTAGGACTCTAGGATGGAGAAATTTAATGGTGTCCCAGATGTTTTGGACCATCTTTGGACAAGTAGGAATATACTCTAAAATTCTAATGGCAGTTGGTTGATTATTTTTAAGGTTTCTTATTTGTTAGCTATATTTCTTACAAAGTACAGAGAATAATCTTGAACTAATAAAAGTATTATTTTATAAATATTAATTTATTTTAAAAGATTTTATAACTCAGCATAATTATTAATTGGGGAGATTTCATTTTTCTATGGTATAATAGAGCAACTACTGATCTTAAAATATAAGTAATAATTATTCAGCCTTTAATCGTCTATGTGACACTGGGCATGATAAATTTTTCTCTCATTTAATAAATGTTATTATCGCTTTAATGTACTTTAACTTGTTCAGTCACAAAACCAGCAGCACAGTTGAGATTTGAACCCAAGATTATTTGTCTCTAAACCCGAAGGTTTTAATCATTGTCATTCAATAATTATATGCTCTTCCAAAGAAAAGGTTAGTTTTATTTGTAAGTGAAATTATAATTAATTTGATATTTTATTATTTTCAAGTTCAACTGGAATTATTAAAATTGAAAACACCTTTAGAAAGATTGCAGATACAAAAATAGATACACACATAGATAATCTGTGCACACACAAATATTCATAACTTACAGATTGGCAACAAGAATAAAATCATCTCTATAGATTCACAACTCATTCAAACTTTGAATCTTACAAGTGGAATTTTTGAAGTAACTTCCATAATTAAATATTGGATACAGATTCTGCAAGTTATTACAAGTTAAAAAATGACTACAGTTATGAGGACAATAAAGGGACTTGAGATAGTGTGAGTGACTCAATTTTGCAAAAGCTAGACTGAGCTCTGATATATCAAACTTTGACTTCCACTAGATTCTAATTTCAATCACTACCTTATCTCTCATTTAATGAAACCCATGATGAATACAAACTATATGCAATGAATTTCTTTTGTAATTGTAGCCATTTTTCCTAGTTACTGATCTTGGGTGGGGGAATGTGTCATGAGGGTGGTGGTGCCTTATTTCCAATAATCTCCATCAATTCCTACCTAATTCCTCTAAATAAAAGTGTAACCAAGTAAAAACATTAAACTTACTAATAAAGCTTTGAGATATACCTTCTAGCACCAAGACCCCTGCAACCAGATAGCTGCCCTTAAGTCATATACATAGAAATTCTGGAGAGCTGCTCTAATTCATATTGATAGTCAAATAGAGCTAAGAACCAAAGTCAGATCTGTCTGGTTCTTAAGTTTATATACTTACCTATTATTATGTTTAATAATATACTCTCACCCATTTGAAACCTCAACATAAAAACATTTTAAATGCACGTAAGTATAAGGGGCGCCTGAATGGTTCAGTAGCTTGAGTGTCCAAATTCAGCTCAGGTCATGATCTTGCAGTTTGTGAGTTCGAGCCCCACATTGGGCTCATTGCTGTCAGGGCAGAGTCGGCTTCAGATCCTCTGTTCCCCCTCTCTGCACCTGCCCCGTTTGCACTCTCTCAAAAACAAACATTTTTAAAATAATAAATAAATAAGTAAATAAGTAAATAAATAAATAGATAGATAAAATAAAGTGCTAAGATAATGGCATACAGCAATTTAAGTAGAAAATCTCCCAAAAGTTATTTCATATTTAAGTTCTGAAAATAAAAGATACCTCCTTCAACTTATCCCTAAAGAAGTCTATTCCCAAAATAGCCAATAAATTAAGTCAAATAGCCTATCAGTGTAGTGGGGAGTGGGTGCTGGCAGATAGAACTCATTGTAGTTACTTGCTATTGTGCAGAAAAGAAAAGGAGGTACAGGAGATCTCCACACCAAAATTTCTCCTTTAGCAATGGTTTCCTTGGAAACAGAGACATTTCCAAGCAGAACAACTGGCGATCCCAATGGTAACTGTGTTTCAGTCTCCTTATTTTATTTTATTTTTTTATTTATTTATTATTTTTTTTTCAACGTTTATTTATTTTGGGGACAGAGAGAGACAGAGCATGAACGGGGAAGGGGCAGAGAGAGAGGGAGACACAGAATCGGAAACAGGCTCCAGGCTCCGAGCCATCAGCCCAGAGCCTGACGCAGGGCTCGAACTCACGGACCGCGTGATCGTGACCTGGCTGAAGTCGGACGCTTAACCGACTGCGCCACCCAGGCGCCCCATCAGTCTCCTTATTTTAAAGTAGCAGGACACACATGCAAAAGCCAAGGCAGGCACAAAGATCAGGTAACCTTATGAAGTCAAGGGGCATTTCATGTCTGTGTGAGAAAACAGAGTTCTTACATTAGTCAAAGAAATAAGTTCTACCTATGACTTTGCAAAGCATATTGAAAACAGAAAGAAATACAAATTTTGTACTACCACATACTGTTTTGATCAAACATGCACACCCTGATGTAGATTTGAAATTTCTTTCATTCCTCTTGTTTCAAGAGAGTGTGGGTGATCTTTGTTTTATTCCCAGATTCCTCTTTTTCTTTTTCAAAAGAATACCTTAAAGTGTAGAGCACTCGACCATCATTCCAAATTCTCAGCATCCTATTAGGGGTGGTTATCCAGTGTGCATCAGCTTTCTTGGAGTTTCTGAAGAAAGTGTCTGGAATCCAGATTTTCCCTACCATGTTGCTATTCAATCGGAGGACTTTAATGGTGCTGTTAAATTTCAGACGTCTGTCATACCACGTTTGAGCAAAAAATATGTCAATTGTATATTCCTGTTTTTTTTTAAAAAAAAGGTGAAATAGAACATTTTAAACACAGAATTGTAATGTAGAACATTTGTTTGTATTTATCATTTGTACTCTCATTACCAACATAAAGCAAAGGTACTCTGGTTTTAATTAATTTAAAGAAGGCAAAAGCTTTGCTAAGGAGATACATCCATCTTTTATAGACAAATTGATAAAAAAAAATAGACCTGTTTAGATGAATTCTAGCAAAAGATCATAGTTGTAATATAGTCATTTGCATTCAGTGTCTGTACAGCAGTTTCTCATGTTACTTTGGGCCAGCTAATTCTTTGTTGTGGGGGCTGTGTTGTGTATGTTCGAATGCTTAGTAGTAGCATTCTTAGCCTCTACCCACTAGATGCCAGTAGCACCAACACCACCACCCCCAACGCAACCCCCTGCATATTGTGATAGCTAAAAATATCTTCAGACATTGCCACATGTATCTTGAGGAAAACAATCACCTACGTTCAGAATCACTGCTAAAGAGTGAAGAAAGTCCATAATACTCAAAACAGTCCTCAACTGGAGCTCTGGAGAACGGCTCAGTTGCCTCAAAATAATTGGGATCTTTAAGAACCTGCCTTGTTAGGTAGTGTGAAGATGGAAAAGGAGAATTCACATAAAATGGTTTTGGTCTGGCAGATAGCAAAAACCAAATGCAAGGTAACTTTTAAAATATTTTTACTATTATAGTTGTCCTTTTCACTAATAACGAGGAAATTAACCAATTAAAAAATAATTTTTACTAATGGGCTAGCTCCATCACAAAGCACATTCACAAAGTGCTGTGATGAGACATGATTCTGTAATGACTATGCTCAAGTATACATCACTAAGTTGGCAAGTGATTGACTTTACTTAAAGAGAAGTAAATTTGATGTGAATTCAGACCATTAGACCTGGAATCTGAACACCCAAGTTCTGGTTTGTCACATTTAGATATTATTTAACATTATTTTATAACAATTTCACTGATGCCTATAAATGAGAAAAAACTCAGTGTTCTTAGAATATGAGAGCTGAGTGTTGGGAATCATCCACATTTCCTGTCTAATACCATCAACCAACCACCACTTTATAATGAAGAACACACATAAAACAGGAAGGTTACCCAAAAATACATAGCCTGTCAGGATCAGACTAAAATCTTCTTCCTTTGCCTCACTTGCATTGCTCTGTGTGATTTCTTTGCACCTCCTGCTGAGGTGTCTCACTGCAGCTGACTACATTTCCACTGGCGTAAGCCACGTAACACTTTGTTCCATATTTGTTGTCTGTAAGTAGTAAGAAAGGAACCTATCTTATGAAATTCTTTATCAACTAATTAGTGACGAACCAGTAGATAAAGTAATTAAATAATTCTAAACTAGGGGCGCCTGGGTGGCTCAGTCGGTTAAGCGGCCGACTTCGGCTCAGGTCATGATCTCACAGTCCGTGAGTTCGAGCCCCGTGTCAGGCTCTGTGCAGATAGCTCATAGCCTGGAGCCTGTTTCAGATTCTGTGTCTCCCTCTCTCTGACCCTCCCCGTTCATGCTCTGTCTCTGTCTCAAAAATAAATAAACGTTAAAAAAATTTTTTTTTTAAAATAATAATTCTAAACTACATTTTGGCAAGAAGCAAAAATAAATAAATAAATAAATAAATAAATAAATAAATAAATAAATCCCACAAAAATAAAATCTTTTTTTCACTGAACCAGCATTTCATAAAATGCGATCCTGGGATAACAATTCTGGGGACTAGTACTCCTGAAGTTAAAAGTTCTATGTTTAAATAAACTACCCATATAGCTTCTTAGATATTTACATTTTGCATTAGAATGCTAAATATGCTGAAAATTTTTTTATAAGGAAGAAAACTGTTGGTTTTGTTTCATTCTTAAACAAATGAACTTACTTGCTTGGAGTATGCAGGTGATATACTTTATCATCACTGTACATGAGAACACTTAAAGTTTCTCATCTCTCTGGCTCAATAGAGTGTCCTTATTGCTAGCTTGATAAACACCATTTCAAAATTATAGTATCACTAATATTATCTTATGTTAGGTTAGGTATTATGTTATAGCATGTTCTACTCTATTCTATTCTAGACTCCAATCTAGTTTCTTACGTCAGATTTGGGCAGAAAGAATCATATAATAATAAAGCTACATTTATCATTATATCTAATGCACTATTTTCTCTGATAAATAATTCCAGTATGAAGCAAACTCTGTCCTCTCTACCCCATCATTTTCCAAAAACTAGTGGAACACTGTATTTTATTTTGTAGTAATGAGTACTTGCCAAGTAAGCAATGATTGTTGAATTTTAAAAGTATAACATATTTACAAAAATTAATTTGTACACATATGATCACATTTAAGTCTCATAACAAATTATAAAAAATAATTATCTTCATATTACAATAAAAAAATCTGAACGACTATCTCTCCCTTATGGATTTTTTTGTTAGAGTATTCTTTGCTATTTTTATGATACCACATCTCCTCTCTAATATGTTAATAAAATTGCAAACCATTAGAAACTTACCATATTAATGGCATTCACTGGACCGATGCTGTTCACATACATGTCTGTGTGAATTAACGTTGGTTTCACTTTAAAGAGAATGATAAAGATATGTGAATTAAACATTTTAATGTTTTAGTCTGTGTTATTCTAGAAATAGATTTATTTTGCCACATTAGAAGTGATTTATTCACAACTAATTTGGTGTCGGTGACTAATTTATTACATTTAAATAACTATTTACTTTCAAAAAATCTCCTTTTAAGCACGTATATGCAGTAACTAAGCATATTAGAGTTTTGAAACTGATTAAGCTTTAAAATTACATTAAGATGAACAAATGAGAAAACACTGCTTAGATTTTCTTTAGCCTTCTCTACATATCCTGAATTTTACCATTTTTCTTCAAGCCCCAGAATCTTTTGGGCATCATAATCTGACTTGACCCATGTAGAAAAAATAACTACTTAGTGATCTAGAAAAACTAAGCATTAGAAACACGAAGTAGACATTTAGTACAACAAATATTGTAAGTTTCTTTTAAAATATTTCCCTCTGTTGATTCCTTTCATGACCACTTAATTCTCATACACTTCAGCCAACACAAAATCAATCTTCCTAAATGACTTATTCAATCGTGTGACTCATCAAATAATATGAGGAAACCATATGGAAACTCAATACACACCTATTTGTCAAAGATGAATGATATTAAAACTCATGAAGTATTTCATCCATGACCAAATGGATGTGCTCCATTTTCATTTAACAGTTAATGAACAAGGATTCATAATATCATCCTGTACTTCAAGTCAACAAGTACATTTTCTCTCATCTTTATCCACTTTCCCTGAAAGTGCCATGCCCTAATTTTCTGTGTTGGATTGAATTCTTCAGTAGTCCCTGCATCTATGCCCCTGCATGTACTCCAGTGAGGCTACTTCTCTGCCTCTGAACTTGGGGCTTGACCATCTGACTTGTGTTGGCTAATACTACACAGATAAGTGAGTACACAAGTTCTAATCCCAAGCATTAAGCCTTATGAGCTTCTACTTTCTGTCTCATTCTTCTACTTTCTGTCTTTGTGTTTTTTTTTTTTTTTTCATGATAAAGATACTCCTGGCTAGTCTGCTGCTCCCAGGAGTAGAATGAGAATACAGCTTTCTTAAATGAGCAGCCCTAACCTGGTTTAGCTTAGATTAGACCACCCCTGGCAAAATGTTAAATAAATGCTTATTATTATATGCTACTGAGAGTTGTGATATTTTATTTCACAGAAGTACGTAACTAATATATCCTTTCTTCTACTATTATTTTGATATTACTTCATAACATTTTGATATTATATATACATATAACATATAACATTTTGATATTACTTCATAAATCAATTGTCACATTTCTTCTACAGCCTTTGTCTAAGATATCTAGGAAATTTTGAATTTCTAGTTCTCAGGCTTCACTTGAACATCATCTTTCTTCATTTTGCATTTATCAATGCCCTCCCACCTCCAAGCCTGAATGCTATTTATACATTCTGTATCCATCTTTACAACATATAATGATCATTTAAGTATTTCTGATTATTAAAATATGCTAATTTTTTCTTCCAATGTGTTTGCCTCTGCCTGTGCCATATCACAAAATATTTTAATATACCTCCTATATCAGGCCGAAGTTTATTGTCATATCCTTCCAGGAGGTTATTTAAGATGACAGTGACATCCCCCTCAGGAACTTTTGGAGTCAAGACCCATGTTTTGTTAGAAGCATAATCTTCATAGTCATCATCAGATTTTTGGCTGGTGAGGCTAAGAAAACAAAAATATTGGTCAGGAAACATATAGACTACATCCAAGAGGACTTTTACTCACAGACCACTGGGGAGAAAAGAGAAATGAAACAGAATTACAGGAAGGTATTACAATGGATGAAAATGACATTTTTCATTGAGGGTTAGTCTAGCTAATTAAACTGCCTAAATGTAAATTAAAATGTATTAAAGTGTACTCTCCAGTTTTCCAGAATGCTCTGTCTTCACATCTGTAAGTATATTTTTGCCTTTTCCATAGTTGATTTTCTTCCTGTCTACCTGCCCAACCTCATGAAGGACTTATTAAGAAAAAACAATTTTTGTGAATGCTTAAACTATTTTAAGTAATGCTTAAATGATCATAACGTAGTTCAAGAATTCAGATGTAATGTCTACTTCTTCCTCCTCTACGAAGTTAACTTGCTCCAACCTATTAATGAAAGTAAGAGACTGATAATTAGATTCACTCCCACAAACCACCAGACAAGCCTCTCCCCTCTCAATTGAACTACTAAGGAGAACTCAGTCTTGCTGCTTTTTCTTCCCCCAGGGTGTGTGTATGTGTATTTTTTCCTCTCACTTGCACTGAAAGCAAGGGCGGTTCATTTATCTTTGATTGTTTAGAACCTGGCACTATGGAGGTTGGTTGTAGACTTTAAACCAGTCTTTATTACAGCGAAAGTTCCTGATCTGAAAACTCATACTAATGGTTAATGTACTATAATTGTATAATTGAAATTACCTACTTTGAGTGATCAAAAAGCCATATAATATCCTGTGATTCAGATTTCAATGCCTGAACCTGGGAGAAACCCCCTGCAAGTAGACCAGAAGTTAAGGCTGACTTTGGAAAGATATTGGAATTCCTAGACCTTGCTTCTCCTCTTGCCCCAAGGTCCAACTCCCCTCTCCCTGCCGCCCACACAAGAGAATTACATTTTTCAGATCTAGGGCCAATGTAAACCTTGCAACAACTGCCATTTTCATTTTTAGCAGCATTCAGTGAATGCTGGTTATTTCTATGGTTTATGGTAAAATTTTTTAAATTACAAACTTAAAATGTAAAGTGTCCCATCCCTATCTTCATTTACTTTTGTAAATATATGGTAAAGAATGGATCTGATCAGAAATCAAACCACTGCCACATTACCCTGAATATACATACATTCCTGAATATATGTACATGTATGTACGTATGTACATACACACACAAACCATATTTATCATCTTTCTTCAATCACACTCATTCATCAATTTACATATATAAAATATATTTATGTATATGTGTGTATGTATAGGTAAATAGATGACTACATATGGCAGACGAAAGCTGATTGCATGATTAACCAGGTTTGAGAATGTGGATGGGAGATGAAGTTTTAAGAGTAATCACTGGCATGGATCAACTTAGTAAGCAAGTAATCTCCTCTTTCATTCCTTTAAAGCTTTATAAATAGGAAATGTTATAAAAACTGAGCCACACATCTGCATAAAACCTAACATAGCCAGCCTTACATCTTGCACTTCAATTGCCATAATGACTTTAAACAACATTTAAATTTCATAAAGCACCCATATAGGGGACGATGGGCTAGACAAAGCTTCAAGGAGCTCTCAAAGAGAAAGAAAGGCCTTGGTGCTGGCGGAGGCAAGTTCTCTGCTAGGAAAATCCTTCTTGGACCTCAATTCATCATTTCTCTAGAGCACTGCTGAACACTGCTTAATAGAGCTCTAATCCTATGACCTAAATCCTACTAGTTTAAGAAGAAATAACAGCTCTCTGATAAAGAAATTTTCAAATCCCTTCAACAACTTTGAGAAAAGACTGTGCTTAGCCCATTGGACATCATCACTATGGAATTGTACCACCATTTAATTCATCCATGCAAAAATGTCTTTAAAAAAACATTTCTCCCTCTTCCTTTCCCCTGCCTTCTGTGTGTCTCTTTCTGTCTCTGTCAGACAAATGTACCCTATTCAAGTTTCTTCAAGGGAAGGGAAGAAATGTTAAATCATTTGGCTTGGTCACTTATAGCAACTCCTCATACTAACAACTAAATGACCCAAGCATGATGGTGCTGTGTTACTGGTGTTACCATCATCTGGCAGACAAGTAGGAAAAATACATTAAGTAAAAATACAAAGGATACTTGCTTAGAAAGAATACCACTTTGTAGAATTGCACCAATAATTTATTTAGAGCCATCATCTGTTAGATGCCAAAACAGTAAATAAATCGATTATTTCATATAAAATTATCAGTGACAGATTTTATCATACTTGAGGATGCCTACTGAGCCAGAGAGAGGTTAAAAAAAAAAGAGTGGAGAAATTAAGAGTATACATTTTGAAGTTAGGAAGTACTAGTTCTGCTTTCTAGATTTATCATGTCTTTCCTCTATCACTATTTAATGGCCTGGGGCATGTTATTTAACCTTGCTAAACTTCACAAAGTTATCATCTTTAAAATAGAGTTAATGCTAGTATTCTAGCATTTTTTGACATTTTTATGTCAGATTAAGATAATGGTAATTAAGTGTTTCACACAGTACCAGACACACAGCCCTGAAAATAGGTCCATTGTAATTAGTGTTATAAAGTGACCACTGTTAGATTTATACCCACAGGTCCAACCATGTATCTAAAACCTGAATCTATAGAAGCTGCTTCCAGGCTTTTATGTAACACATGCTGAGAAGAACTAAAAACAGATGTTTTCCAGGAAGAAAAATAATGAACCCCTACATTATAATAAATGAAGTTTTTATTCTCTACAGTTTTCCCAGCTGATGTCTAAATTAATGGGACTGATACATAATCTGGGATTGTTTCCAGATTTGTCTTAAAAAAAGAAAAAAAGCACCTCTTTCATTCAACATCGGTTGTTTCTTCAGAATTCTGAGGAGTCAAGACTTCATTTATAGGTAGGCTGTCTAGAAATAAATGAAGTCTGATCATTAGAAAAGGCATTCTTCAGAACTGTTAACTCCAGAAGAAGGCCTGGGTGGAAATAAATTGATAATGATTCAAGAAAATGCACTTGACCGTTGAGTGCGCTGAGCACAAACATAAAGGTGAACTTCTAGCTAACAGCATCTATCCAAATGCAATAGTCTTTAGAAGCAATTACTTGTTCTTGTACATTTCAGTTTAAAAAATAATCTTATAAAGAGAGAGAACCAATATTTAAATTAGTCTTAAATGAACTTACCATCCTGAAAAACATTTTTTTGTAATCTGAGTAAACTTTGTCAAGACAATATCCGAAAAGGTTGTAAATTTTTCATCCTTGAAAGCTTTTTATTTTTTATTTGTTGAATATTTATTTTTGAGAGAGAGAGAGAAAGAGAGAGAGAGAACGTGCAAGCAGAAGAGGGGCACAGAGAGAGGCAGATATAGAATCCAAAACAGGCTCCTGGCTCTGAGCTGTCAGCACAGAGCCCAGCAGTGGGGCTCAAACTCCTAAACCCTGGAGGTCATGACCAGAACAGAAGTCAGATGCCTAACCTGACCCAGGTGCCCCTCATCGTTAAAAGCTTTCTAAAAAAACGTGAGAAAGCCATCTGACCACGAACCTTGGACAAGCAGTATGAATATCTCCTAAAGATATTAATACAAATGCAGAACCTTGGGCCCCACTGAGATTCCTGAATCAAAATCTTTAATAAATTTACAAGCGATTCATCTGCACATTAAAATTTGAGCAACTCAGTCTGTGTTTAAACCAGTGATGTGTACTCCTGGGCGGAGCGCGGCGGGAAGGCTCTTTAAAAATACAGATTCCCAGTTCCCCCTTTAGATCTGAGTCTCCATGTTGTAAATTAGGTTATTATATTTTTATTTTCATGTTTACAGTTTTATGCATTATTTTCATTTATGCATGATTACAAACATGTTTTGAGTTCATGTTTATAATCAGAGACAAAAATTGATTTTACTTAGAAAAATAAAAGTGGCTTAGAAAAAAACAAAAAAAAGAGGGCAACTGGGTGACTCAGTCGGTTAAGCTTCTGACTTCAGCTCAGTCATGATCTCATGGCTTGTGATTTCAAGCCCTGCTGACAGCTCAGAGCCTAGAGCCTGCTTTGGATTCTGTGTCTCCCTCTCTCTCTGTGCCTGCCCCACTTATGCTGTCTCTCTCTCTCTCTGTGTCAAAAATAAACAAACATTAAAAATTTTTTCAAGAAAAACAAAAAACAAAAACTTGATTGATGTTCAGTGAAAGTTCAATTATATAGAAGAAGCTAAATATTCAAATTTTGGTACATATTCTAGATGTTTGACACTAAAGATTAATCATGCAGTTTATGGAATTTTAAATTTTAATCCATGTATTTCACATTTCCAGAAATTCAATAAGGATCTAAGTTTTGTGAGAGGAAAAATCTCGTCATTGTATCCTCCCAGGGTAATATAACAGCAAAAGCTTGGGTGAGATATAAAAACATCTGTCATTTCATTCAGGTATCTTAAAACCCACGGGTATTTGGCATCATAAAGGCAGAATATATATATATTTTTTCTTTCTCTGACATATGTAGGTAAGTAGAATAAAAAATATACAAAAACTCATTCATTTTTATGCTTGAGCTCTTTTTAAATAATTCGTGTTTCATTTGTTCCTAACATTAGCTTCAATATTTTGTTGGTGCAAATCTCGGTTTATTTTTATTTTATAGGTGCAATCAGTTAAATACAGGGTATTTTATATGTCAAAATAAATCTCCCAAGACATATATGTCAACAAAATAAAACCTTTTGAATCTTTTCTATTAAAAGTTCCTATGCATTGGATTCTCTGCTCTGTTAACATTACCTCTTGTGAAGTCTCCACTGCTTATATAACATAAATCTCTGCTCTCAAAGAGATCCCATTCGACCTCACATTCTCATCAGGCCATAGAATCCAGTGAGAATCCTCACACTCCAAAAGCATCAGGAACAGAAGAATGTGCTATTCCTTACATAGCATCCTTACATTTGATGAGTTCTAAAAAC